ACCAATGTAAAATACTGTGGTAGCCACAGTACGGTGCTGTCAAAACCTCAGCATCTTCAATGATCCGTTGTTGGGGATCTTAGGATATGGTAAACAGTCGAAGCCGCAACATTTTCGCTTTTAAAATGTTGTACCGTATACTTTTTGCCGAGATTTCTGTGCAGTTCGTAGAACTGTACAACGCGCTCACGAAATACTTCTTGTTTCGACGGCATTTTGAGCAAAAATGAGCAAGCATAAACAAAACAGAAAATACTAGCAGAAAGAGAGAGAGAGAGCTAACACATACACACTCTTATTTCTCTCTGAGCTCGTTTGTTGTTGAGCATAGAGGCCTCGAAAAAATTCCAAAATTTTAGTTGCCACCCGTTAGACAGGGATGCATAAAAATAGAAAAGGGATGACTGGAATTTATTTTCGTTGATGAGGAATGTGGATTAAAGTGATAAATTGAATGTGGGATGAGGATGGATGAGGATGAGGTCCCAGGTATTCTGATTTATCAATATGTATTCTGATATTTTATTTTCATCCTTTTTTTAAGCTATTTTTACCCAACTGATAAAATGATAAAAGCGTTTTTTAACCTATTTTTTTCTTTTTTTTTTTTTGTTCGTCTTGTTTTCCGTACTAAGTATCGGTAAAACACCAGAGAGGCAGCTTCCAGGCCTATCGACCCATCAACTCATTGACCAACGACTTTACTTGAAAAATCATGATTTATTCTGATTGTAAATAATTGGTGCCCACCCTCCGCTCACCACTTCCTACATTTCAGACTCTTAATTACAGTGACTTTTTTTTTCGTTTGATTTTAAGACTTTCCTCACAAACACCTTAGCCCTGAACACCATCCTGATTAATTGATTTTTCTCCTGTGTGTCCTGATATTTGAAAAAATACGTGCTGTCAAATCAGCCTACTGATCATTCTTGTATGAAATTGGTTCCAAACGAAAACAAACCATGTAAGTTTTTCATAGCTTGTTTACGTTTGGAAACAGTTATACTAGGTAGGCGACGAATTTGTATTTGCCAGCCACACCCCTCCCCTGCTGTTGACCCGAACCTTATTGTCGGTCAAGTTGGACACTGGAAAACCCCACCGGCAGCAGTTTTTAGTTCAGTCGTAGCTAGAACGAAGGAAGACTGCTCAAAACGAATTTTTGCTCCACCGGTAAAAGTTCGTTTCAGCAATGCGGCAAAAGTTTGCCAATGATACATACAATAATGCGATTTTGTTAAGCAGGTATTCTGAATGATGATGACCAGTGCTCATTACTGATCTATACAATGTTTATTCATAACAAATTTAATGATCATGTGCTCATTTCCTATGTACATTTGCGTTTAGCACATCTAAGTTTTCCCAAACACAGAGATAAGATAAAACTATATCACTATCACGTATGTACTTACGGTGAAAAATATAAAAGACGGCTTCAAAGGGAAACACCGCCATTGCCAGAGGTCTAACATTTGCGGTTATTAGCAATAGTTTGCATCCCTAATGCAAATGTCATGTCTGGACATAGTTGAACAAAGTGTTCCGAGTACATAACTTTCAATTCGAATCGATCAAAAAGTCTTACTTGCTAGCGCCCAGCTGAACCTAGTAAACTGAAAGGGCACGAAGAGATGCTATGATGTCATCGATTACAACTCTCTGGCCGTTGGTTGTTTATATTAAAGAGAGGAGACCGCCAGAATGGCTCTTTGCTGCCGGGTGTCTCCTCTTATAGCCTACAAGGGATGAATGTAAACGAATAAACCACTTACTGTTGTTAGTACACTCGAAACCTAGTTTACGCGTGCCATCAGACTGTTTATACAAATCATCATTAAAACGAGACGAGACTGGAAGTTATTTTTACGGTACTCGAAAGTACTCTTCAGGCGCTGCACATTCCGTCATCGGTGCAGTTGTTTCGTTTAGTTTTCTTGATTTTATATGCATAGAAAACTCAAACAGTCGTGATTAGAATTGTTTTTTAAACATAGTTCCTCGTGCCTAGGAGCCTTTCTTCGGTCTGATAAGTTTGATGATGCACACAAGCAAAGCCTAGCGCTTGTTTCAGAAAGAATGCTACGCTTCATTTACTGCTTACTAACTGCATATCTCCCTTGACACTCCGATTACGATGCCTCCGAAAAACGTGTAACGGCAAGCTTGCAATGGCATAACTTAGCCATTTCTTGATGAATTTGAAAAAAATGGTGGTACTTCTAGAATTCCTAGGTTCTGTAGATGATTTTGATTGTGAAAAGATTAAAAATAAGGTCGTCTACTTTATTCAAAAGCGAAAAGAGTCGTTACACGTTTTTTTTTACGGGGTGTTCATGGGTTTTCCAAGTGTTCTAAGATCCATAAATTAGATTAATGGGTACACATGTTCATAATTAGCCAAAATGCAGTAATGGTTCCTGTATATGGATCCTGGAGACAACGGAACGGTCCTCCGGAAGATCCGAAACATCTTTAAAAGTGGTCAATCCATGAAACTGATCCTTGAGCTCCGCGGTTTTTTTCGAAAACACTTGGAACTGTAATATAAGAAAGAATTTGGAGTCATGACATAAACATGGTCCTAGATGACTATGGGGCCGTCCTCCGGAAAATCCAAAACATCCGTAAAAGTGGTCTATTCATGAAACTGATCCTAGAACTCCGCGATTTTTTCGAAAACACGTGGAACTGTGATATAAGAAAGAATTTCGGGTTGTGGCATAAAAATGGACCTGGATGGCCATGGGATTATCCTCCGGAAGATCCGGAACATCCGTAAAAGTGATTCATCCATAAAACTGATTCTAGAGCTCCGTTTTTTTTTTTCGAAAACACTACACTAAACGAAAATTAATTATTTTATTCATGTGTTTCACTTATACATTTTTGCCAAAACATCAGCCTTATACATTCCATAGGTCCACATAGGTCCTATAAGAATGCATAAAAGGTATGTGTGGTCGCTTATACATTTCATTTCACACATGATCTTCATTAACTTTTTGCAAGGCGTCTGCTTATTAGTTGACTTATACATTTTATGAATAATCAGTAATAGAAATTTACCAAAAGGTATAAAGATATTTCTATCCGTGTGATATAAGAAATAATTTAGGGTCGAGGAATAAAGATGGTTCCGGATGGCCATGAGACCGTCCTCCGGAAGATCCGAAAAATCCTTAAAAGTGGTCCATCCATGAAACTGATCCTAGAGCTTCGCAGCTCTTTCGAAAACACGTGGAACTGTAATATAAGAAAGAATTTGAGGTCATGACATAAATTTGGACCCGGTTGGCTATGGAACCAACCTTCGGAAGATTCGGAGCATCGGTAAAATCGGTTCATCCATGAAACAGCACAACAGTTTTTTTTTAATCTCTTGGACCTGTGATATAAGAAAAAAAATAGGTCGTGACGTAAACATGGACCTGGATGTACATGAGACCGTACTCTGGAAAATTTGGCACATCCTTAAAAGTGGTAAATTCATGAAACTTTTCTCAAAAACACTTAAAACTGTGAAGTTTTCGAAAACAAATCACGGTTTTTTTTTCACAGTTTCATTTATTAAACACTTTTATGGATGTTCCAGATCTTCCAGACGACGATCCCATGGCCATGCAGGTACATGTTTATGCCATGACCCCAAATTCTTTCTTATATCACAATTCCTAATGTTTTTGAAAAAAACTGCGGAGCTCTAGGATCAGTTTCATTGGTTAACCTATTTTAAGGATGTTCCAGACGTACCAGAGAACGGCCCCATGGCCATCTTGGTCCATGTTTCTGTCATGACCCCAAATTCTTTATTATATTACAGTTTCAAATGCTTTCGAAAAAACCGATTGACCACTTTTACGGATGTTTCGGATCTTTCGGAGGACTGTCTCATGGCCATCCGGGACCATGTTTGTCACGACCCCAAATTCATTCTATCATCACGGCTCCTAGTGTTTTTCTAAAGCTGCGGAGCTCTAAAATCAGTTTAATGAATTGACCACTTTTACGGATATTTCGGATATTCCGGAGGACGGTCTTATGGTTATACAGGTTCATGTTTATGTAATGAACTCAAATTTTTTCTTATATCACAGTTCCTAATGTTTTCGAAAAAAAAAACCGCGGAGTTCTAGGATCAAGTTTATGGATAGACCACTTTTATGGATGTTCCGGATTTTTCGAGGACCGTTCCATTATCTCCAGGTTCAAAATATATAGGAATCATGACTGTATTTTGGCTAATTATGAACATTTGTGCCCATTAATCTAAATTATGGATCTTAAACAACTTGCAAAACCCAAAAACACATCCTTTAAAAAAAAAAAGTGTAACGACTCTTTTCGCTTTCGAAAAAAAGAAGACGACCCTATTTTCAATCTTTCTGCAATTAAAATAACTCCCATTTTACATTAAGTTTTTTTTTAAATGTTGTTTCAGAGCCAGTTTTACGTTACGTTAATGTTAGACTGAAACGTTCCCTTAGAGGCAGGCCCTAAGCCTGACCTTCTACTATCAAATGTGATAAACTAGCCTACGGCTAAAAATCACAAAAATAAAGAAAAAAAAAAATTAAAATAATCTACAGAGCCTAGGAATTCTAGAGTTACCACAATTTTGGAAATTCATCAAGAAATGGCTAAGTTATATCATTGCAAACTTGCTGTTACACGTTTTTCGGAGGCTTCGTAGTCGGCGTTTACCCACCGTATTCGGAGTGTTAAAAACTGAACAAATTAAAATACAAAAAAAAAAACAGAACAAATATCCAGAATTAAGAAAGTGAAACTTCAAAAGGCTTTAAAATTCTTGAATCTAAAAAATGTTTCAGCTCCCAAAATTGTCACAATTACAATTTTTAAAATTTTCGATGTTCTGATTCAGATGTTTTTTTTATCAGCTACAAGTCATAATGCAAACATGACCAAATTCTTTTTAAACAATTAAGTAATTAGATGTCGTTTTAAGAGTTGTTTTATTATGTCATTTTATACAGACTAACAATTGAACCAAATTTTGAACGTTCCATCAACAATGGCACAGTAGTGATTCACATAATCCGAGACTCTCACGAGGAAGATGAACTGCCACCCATTGTTTTGGATATGAATCACATTACAATTCATTTATCGCAAGGTAAGTTTCGTTACACTAATTTATAGATAGAGTAAGTGCACCAGTTGTGGTCATAGTTTCCAATCTTCGTGCGTTTTGTGGGCGACATGTGAATAATATTTGAATCAACAATCTTAACACAACTTAACATTAAAAAACGTGAAATAACATCAAAACATGGCCAAAATAGGTACGTTTCCCCATGTACCGCAAGACTCACATCTAATATGTATATTTTTTTTCATTCCCTGCTTTACTTACAGTGCTGGATGTCGATAACCAGGATGTAGCATTCGATGCTGGATATGGTCGCAATAACCAATCGTATGTGATCCGGGTCAAAGAGCGAGGTGAAAACCTACGGAACATAACCGTCATATTGGACTTTGAAAGTCAACTTAGCGATACATTGCAAGGATTCTACAAAGGATTCTTTCTTGAGGAAGGTACCGACGAGAAGAATTGGTTTGCGAGTACTCAGTTTTCGCCAATCGATGCTCGGCGAGCTTTTCCTTGCTTCGACAGTCCGGACATGAAGGCAACATTTGAGGTGTCTTTGGTTCATTCTGTTGATAAAACCATGTTTCTCTCCAATATGGAACATGTCAGGACTACCGTTGTCCGTCCGGGATATCTGAAGGAAGATTTTGAGATTACACCACGGATGAGCACCTACCTCGTAGCATTTATCGTATCAAACTTACAACTGGCACAACGCTCGGAAGGGTTCAGTCCACAGATCAATATCTGGAGTCGACCGGAAGTCAGTCGAATGACGAGTTACGTGCACAGGCTGACCGTGCGCATTCTACCCTACTTAGAGCGATACTTTGACCTCAAGTTCAACATGAAGAAAATCGATATGGTAGCAGTGCCAGACTTTGGATTCAGTGCAATGGAAAACTGGGGTTTGATAACATTCCGGTAAGTATTCATACGAACAACGGGGCGGATAATGTTGGTCCCCTTTCGTAATAATAATTACAAGTTGACACGCAAAGCCTGACACGGCTCTCCCTTCTTTAATCATTCGCATAAGGTCATAATACGATGCACGCTATCGAATTTATTCACCCATATACACTTTTGATTAATTATAGGGAGTCGGCTTTCTTAGTTCCCGAGGACAACAACAAAAGTTCATCGGCCAAGCATAAGGAACGTGTTGCATCAGTGGTAGCACATGAATTGGCTCACCAGTGGTTCGGAAATCTGGTAACTCCCCGATGGTGGAACGATCTTTGGCTTAAGGAAGGATTTGCTACTTACATGAGCTACGAGTGTTTAAACTTTGTGAGATTGTTTACGTTATGCCCAATCCATATTTCCGCAGCTAACTTTTATCTATGTTTCAGGCTGAGAAAAAGTGGCATGTGTTTGAAACGTTTGTCCAGAACGAACTTCAGAAGGCTTTCGAGAAGGATTCCGATCGCAATTCACACCCGATTTCTTTTCCCGTTAATCGTGGTTCGGACATCCGCCGGATTTTTGATCCCATATCGTACTCTAAAGGGGCTTCGATTATCCGAATGATGAGTAGCTTCCTTGGTCAGGAAGCCTTCAAAACAGGAATAACAGAATATCTGAAAAAGTACCAGTACGACAATGCCGAACAGGAAAACTTATGGGAGATTCTAACGCTTCACGGTCATGATTTCGGCACTCTCCCGATCACGTTGGATGTCAAGCAGATAATGGACACTTGGACGTTGCAGCCCGGATATCCGGTAATCTCGGTTGAGCGAATCAGCGATCAAATGATAAGGGTTTCCCAGCAACGGTACATGCTTCCTACGAAAAATGCTACCGACGATACTCGGTGGTACGTTCCGATCACCATCGTTACGAAGTCATCTCCCGCAGCTAGCGCTATTCCGCAATTGTGGCTTAACTATGACAACCAAAGTATCGATGTAGTAATTCAGGCAGAACCGGAAGATTTTGTTTACTTGAATGTGGATCGAACCGGTTATTACAGAGTGAATTATGACTACGCATCGTGGAAAAAATTAACCACTAACTTCCCGAGCCTACCGGCATTGACTCGATCGCAATTGGTTGACGATGCATTCAATCTCGCTCGTGCCGAATTCATAGAATACGACATCCCATTGACTTTGATTCTAATCGTCTCACAATTCCCACAAGACATCCCTGCATGGGCTTCTCTCAGCAAAGGTTTAGATTATCTAAGTGACATGATGGCTCGGGAACCGGCATATGAGAGTTTCCTAGCAGTGATGAGATCAGCTCTAAGAAAGTCCTTTGAACAGCTCGGTTTTGAGGATCGTTTGGATGACGATCACCTGCAGATGATGCATCGGGAAAGGATTGTTGGTTTGGCCTGTCAATTTGGAATCGACAAATGTTCCGTCCGTGCGCAAACACTATTCCGACGATGGATGACTGACTTCAAGGATAATCAGATACCACCCAACCTCAAGCAGGTTATTTACTGCACATCCTTGAGGGATGGAGGCGTACCGGAGTGGAACTTTGCGTACAAACGGTATAAGGAAACGGATTCTGCCTCAGAGAAAGAGCTGATCCTAAACGCTCTAGGTTGTTCAGTAAAACCGTGGTTGCTTTCAAAGTAAGCATTGCTCACACAATGATACTTGTTTGTGCTTAGAATATGTTAATTCAACCACGAAACTGTTTATTTTAGGTATCTTAACATGACTTTGGATCCTTCATCCGGCATCCTCAAGCAGGATGGTGCAAGAGCCTTCCAATCGGTGGCGAAGAACTACGCTGGAAATGACCTTGCCTTTAATTTCTTGTACGAAAACATTGAACGAATTGTCAAATAGTAAGCGTAATCGAAAACTCGTTCCAGATGTTGTCTAACATTACTAAATTTTCCACTTTTCAGCTTCGGGGATGGATTTTCGACGCTCAACAAAATGATAGACTCTGTCACTTTGTTGATGAACCAAAAACATCACCAAGAGCAGTTTGATCGGTTTGCTCGTAAGGCACGTAAACTTGGATTGCGAACAATAGAAAAGAGTGTATATTTGGCGGAAGAGCAAATTCTCAACAATATTCACTGGCGATCCCGATCGTACCACAAGCTGCAAGAATTTCTCGATAAACTGATTCGAGATATGCACATGAATATGTACTAGAGGCCACAGAGAAGCAGCTCTAGTTCTTCCAATTAAAACCAGTCAAAGTTCCAACTATCTAAAATTGCATTGAATAAAGGTGTATGTACATATTATTGTTAGGCAAACGAACCGTTTCAAAGCAAATCTAACGGTCCTATTGAATTAGCCTCGCAAATTTAGGTAACGAAAAATTCTTGGCGTTTACTATTATAGATAGTGTAACCTCAGAGTTCATAAACGTGCGAAGGCATCCTGCTTTTACAAGGTACTATATTTCTAAATTTTGAAAAGAAAACAACGGATTTTCTGGCTGTGTATTTGTAAATTTTTAGTTACACCATCATGCTAATTAAATTTTGATCGAATCGCTATTCATAGTATTTCATATTAGGTGAATTTCGATTTAGTCATTTGTCAGTATTTATTAAATTAATTATCTAATAATTTATACGAAAGTCCGAAAATTACCAGGATGAGAATAGTCTGCTAGCATACTAAGTTTCTCAAAGAAATAGATTTAGATATATTTGCCATATTTTTTTAAAGTAGTTTATGATAGAGGATTTAAAAAAAGTTTAACGATACAGAAAACTGCCCGCCAACCAACCGAGCTGCGAAAAATAAGTGTCTTAATTTTTAAGAAGTTTTAATGAAGTAAAATAACAGCGCTACATGCAGCACATGCCTTGGAAAATATTAATAAAATGCAGCTGTTATCCATGAAAAGTTTATGAAATACTACGAGTTTTAAACACAAATTTCAACGAATATATTTCAAAATTTTATTTTCATCATATCCGAATGCTTCCATTGCTAAATATATACTTTCAGAATCAAGCGTGACTAAAAAGGAACTACGTCCATGATTTCTGTTCACCCAGATCGAAATATTCGGTATTAGCGAAGACAACATATCAAGAAGACTGGCAACTTTGCCTGCCGCTCGAGCGAAGGTGGAAGCAACGCATAGAAAAATGAGCAAATACACACACCTTTCTTCTGAGGATGAAACCAACAATCAATTCGAAACTAACGATTTTAAATTGGCTCACTATTTGACTAGCCTATTGGTCCCAAGCAAATCGATTAACGTACCCCTTTCTTGGCGAAATTCTAGTACTACACTATGTTTGTTTTGATTCTCTATGAAAGTTTGACAGATAAAATGAGGGGTTCGTGGATTTTCATATGTTTCGAGGGGTGCATCGATTAGCTTGGGACCGAAGAGAGTACCAGAGCTGAGCCAAAAAGTTGAGCACGTTTCTTCGGGACCTTCTGGTCTTAGAGTTACCTCTATGATGAAACCACAGACAAACAGACATAACACATTGAATATGTCTCGCTGTAAAACATCGTCGCTAAAACATTACCGCCATCTGTTGAGTACACTGTGGTGGGTAGTACGCTGAACAGATGGCGGTAGTCTGTAAACGTCAAACGCAAGGGAATTGACTAAGCGCGCCACAGGTGGCGGTACTACCAACTACGATACTTTTAAATTGACCGTTAAATGCTTGTTCGATGATCAACTTGCGAGATCTATGTCTGTTTGTCTGTGATGAAACCTTTGCTATCCAAATCTAAAGGAGCATTTGATGCGAGTGTACCTGTCTCATACCGGTTGTATGAGAAAATGAAAGAGTTGCCAGTCTTCTTGATATGTTGTCTTCGGTATTAGCTTATGAGTCCACTCAAAGATAAATTAAATCATAAAAGCTTAAAAAGTATGCAGTTTCCCGCTTCACCTTATTGAGTCCGAGCTATGATTACTTCGGCAATAGTCATGCATGATTAAAATCGAAATAATCTTTCCAGTATTAAATTTAATTCTTTTTGAATACTGATGTATAATCAAAAAAGATTAAAATTCAATCAAAAATTATTAAAATAGAATCTAAAATCAGGGTGCCTTCCATTCATTTTGACTCAAAAAATGTTTCAAGAAATTATGGAATAATAAGATATCATGAAAATATTTTGATTGTGTAAACAACAAGAAAAGATTGTAAAGTCTGTATTTGACACATAACACCCACCAATTTTGCTACATGAGAGTCGCGATAAGCGATTTTGTAATTTATCTCACCCACTCTTCGCTCTTCACTCTTCGCGAAGAGGCGATCAGAAAAACGCTCATTGTGGCTCTGTCAAAGCTAAATTTGCAGGTTTGATGTGTCAAACACAAACTTAACAATCTTCTCCTATTACTCACACATACAAAACATCATCATATCATCTTATTATTCCATAACTTCATAAAACATTTTTTTAGTCAAAATGAATGGAAGGCACCCTGTCTAAAATGATTAAAATTTATTCAAAAAAAGATAATCTACAATCTAATCAACCATGATTAAACTGGGATTAATATCAGATGCTTATTTTTTAATCATTCGATATGATTAAACTGAGTTTAATGTCAAATTGATTAAATTTCAAGCAAAATGGGAATAGTTCAATTTATCAGTGTCCATTTACTGTTCTCCGGTATGTCCCATACTTGCTGTTATCTATTCATCAACTCAGCTCTCACTACCTTACAAATTCTTGATGAACTCACTGGTTTCCGCTGAAGTAATACCAATGGGGATCATTGCAGGTATGAATCATACTGCATCCAACGAGATGATTATGTACGTGCTCACAATCCGCATGACCCACATAAGATGACGTTTTCAGCGATGAAGCGCCAGCACGCCGTTGTACCACCGACAAACCGACATGAAACTAAAATTTAACTCTTGATCGAGAATCCATAACGGCGGATTCAAATGTGCAGCGATCCCATCTGTCAAAACCATAGAAATTTGTTGTCATTTTCATTTTCATTTTCATTTTATGATGTACAAGGGGGTCAGGGGCCATGTCACCGATGTGAATATTCACACCATCCATAATACACCAGGGAAGGGGAGAGGAGTGAGCAACACAGCATCTTTACCCATGGGGGTTAAAAAAGTTCTGCGAGGTTACTTATGGTAAACCAGCTGCTCAGGGATTGTAGAAAGGAAAGGGTTGGGTAGGTTTTGTGTGAAATGCGCATAAGTTATTATCGTATCGTTGAAAAATGGCCTCGTTTGGTTTGCGCTCTCGTCACAGAGCGCATCGATTACATCACACCGTCAATGAAAAAGAAATTAAAAGAGATTGAAAGAGATTATTAGTGAGTTTTAAACTGTGATTTACCTATTAGAAATACATTTGTAAAATTGTCTCCGTGTACTGAACAACCATCCCTCTAGCCCTCCCGCCGCCTAAACGTCTGAAGGAGTGTGACGTCAAACTCCGTCATCCATTCAATCAGCCGGAAAACGAAAGAGCGTGCAATGAGCGTCAGCGACCCTAATAAAGGGTGGGGGAGCACCATACATGAACGATACCACAAATCGTGCCACCGTACCACATATTGTTGGGATGATAACCCGAATAGGTTGTTAGGCACTCCTTATGGTTATCGTTTATGCGGGTGTTTCAAAGGAATTTACATCTAATCAACCCTCTGTGCGACCCAACCCGTGCAATGTATTTAATGTTGAGAGCCTTGTGTGCCTTATCATGAGTGGTAACGGATCTGGCAATCTTCACATGACTATGCTTCCCGGTGACGACGACTACGATCTAGCCGGTTTACAATAGGTTTTATACAAGAGTACTAGAATAGATCGGAGTATACTTACAGTTTCGACGTTCTAATGTACTCCTTGTTTACCTTCAATACTACTTCCTTCTCTTGTTGTATTGTGTATCTGGATAATGGATCCTCGCTCCGGAATGTCTTCAAAACTGGGGGGATTTAAATCGCTCCTCGTGCACAACCCTTCCAGATGACCGAAAGAGCGCTCAGTCCGATTGGTCTCACCCGATATTCTTGAAATATTTGACATTTTGAATAAAACATTGCCATTTCGAGACTTCGTGTTGTTAGTTTTCTTGAAGGTCTTGTGCTTAATGCTTGATTTGTCTTTCGCTTCGTATTTCTAAGAATTAACTCTATAAATAGATAAAAAAACAAAAACAAAAACAACGCTTCCCGCCCATAAGCTGTAGTGCAGAATCTTTGTGATGATACTTTCCAAACGTGCATATCCATAGAAATAAATCCAATTCAATAAAGGATTGATTTCTACTGCGACTAAATTCAGCATTCCTACTAAAATATCAAACGCTGTGCTTAATGATTTATTATTAGTACAGAGCCATAAACAATGTACGATGATGATTAATCTGTTAATATGCTTTTATAAGCGGGTTCAAATGCACTTTTGGTAAGCATCAACACTGATCTGGCAACACTAGTGTGCATCTTTCCAATGTGGTAAAGATCCAGATCAGCCCTGGGACCTTGTAGCCTAATTAAACTACCTCAAGGTTTTGCCAAAGCCCAGGGAAAACAATAGAAATTTGTTATCTAGATAAAAATAATTTGCCCGGAATATATTAGACATGAACCAACACATACATTTAGTATGTGTGTTCGTGGCTAGGATACACATTTTTCGCGAACACGGCGGCAGATGTCAGTTTTGTGCTTTGATCAGAAATTTGATGAAACTTTGTATGATCATTCATGTCGGTTTGTCGGTGGTTGTACAACCCGGTCAACAACCTTATAGGATATCCAATTATATGTAGATTCGTTTGTACTTGATCTTTTCTGAAATCTTCGTGGATATACATCAAAATTTCAATCGATTTCAACCTGGTAGAACCATCCCGCACTAAATAGAACGACCTGTTTATACCAACTCGCGATTGGTGGAATTTGGCTGAATGAACGCCGCCGGAAATGAACTAGCCATAGACTAAAAATCTCATTAATAAATAAAAAAAAAAAAGAAAAAATGAATGACCGCCAACACAGGTATCTCGTAGTAGGTAGAATGTCTAAATGAAGACCAAAAAGCTGATCACGAGTTGTTACAACCTGTCTTAGATTGATTAATATGGGTTTAGTAAAAAGACTAGAATATACAAAGAGATGCCATGCCGTTTGAAATTCATATTTATCTGTCAGTGTTATTCTAATCGATCAAGGACCTGTCAAAGCAAAAAATAAAAAAATGTTGCTATTATTGCAAGAGCAAATTTTCATTACGTCGAAAGTAACAAAGGTAAACAAAGTTGAGCTATCAGTGTCAATCGATTCTCCTGCTATTACACTATATACTGTCCGAATATAGGATCACATCCCATTTTTGAATTTATTTACCCGTCAAATTGCTTTTTGACGTTATCACCTTCCGATCAAAATAGTTTTCGATGTTACTGAAGTCACCCGATTTCTATGGAGATGCCGTTTGTCTTAAGTAACAGCGCTGAGAAACCCGTGAAAAGTGTACGTTCGTCGTTTCGCTTTCTCATTATTAAAGTGAATAAATCAAACTGTTTGTTGCTAAGATGATTTCGGTGGTCCTAAAATGATGAATGGGCTGCACGTAAGGAGACGTAATTGATAATTCTCCCGAATATCCTGGTAAATACACTTTGACTTAAGTAACAATAGGGGCCACCAAACGACGTATAATAACTTTTGACTCAAAAACCAGTATTTTTCAGCATGAAAGCTAGCGATTTGCATTTGTATGATTAAAACCCTGCTAAATATGTTAAACATTGCTATCACTATGAGATTACATGTGTTTAATTGGAAATAGGAATAACTTTTCGGTCATCAAAACAAAACTTTATTTTTCTCGGATTGGTGCGAATGCTACTTACGACATAATGAAAATTTGCTCTTGATTGGTGGTGATTGGAGAAGTATTGTTATCTGATTCATCAAGCTTTTTACGTATTTACAGGTATAATCTCTAAAACCAAGCGCAAATTCGTTTGATTTAAATTGATTACCAACTCTAAATCGAATCAACGGAAAATCAGCACTGCATAATTTTCCTCGAATAACAACAAACTTGACCAAATCGAAAGTCAAGCGAAATTTTGAAAAACGACAGCGTTGCGCTACCTTTTGTTACTAGATGATTTATTTTCACATGGATCGAATGCACAGTGGTTGGAGATGGTAAAATCACGAACATAATTGAATTGTGTATAAACTATTGACTTAATCACAAAAGTGTCTTCAGAGGCATTTTCAACAAAGTTTCATATTTTGTGTAGTTTTACAACTTTGCCCAAATAAGTATCCTTTTATCTCTTTATGAGAACAAGTTACAGGCCTGCCCAACCTTTCTAAACTTGCCTTTTGGTTTTGGTTTAGAATTATATCATTGCTGAGATCCAGAGTTCACGTACGACCCACGGGCTGCACGTTCACAGAAACAAAATCCATTGGCAAAAATACTATATTGATGGTTTAAATTAAATACTCCCACCAATAGATTTGTGCAGAAACGAAATTCATTTAATTTGACTAATTTTTCTATCAAAACTACTATACCGTTTGAGTCAGCATAGTAGTTTTGACAGAATGGTAGTAAATTTGATTATATTTATAGTCAACTATACTGAAATCATGGTAGATTTAACGGTATTAAGCGTAGTTATACTGAAAATAAGTGTTTTCTGCAAAATAGTATTCCTAACTATTATCTTTGTTTCAGTGTTGGACTGCGTTGCCATAGTGAGAGCAAAGCGTTGAAACGAATATAATGAATAATATCAATAATGGATATTTTCTTATTTATATTATTTCTTACATTTTTTTCAACGCTTCGCTTCGCTCTCACTATGGAATCGGCCTACGTTTTTATTTTTTTCATAGTACCGGTCATGATAAATGTTTGAAATTGTAGGGTTGTGGATGGATAGTTATTTGAACAATGCCTCTGAAGACACTATTTTGAGTAATTGAATAGTTTATTCACAATTCTAGATAGAGCAGGATTTAGGGCGTAACAGCTTTTGTAAACAATAACTTCTCTCGATGGTTTATATGAATTTAAGGCACGCCCACGCAAAGCAATATAACCATCGGGTAGGGGAAGTCTTCCTCTACCCGATGGTGATGTAGATTTGCGTTAGCTAGCCTTGACTTTCTAGAAATCATCGAAAGAAGTAATTGTTTACAAAAGCTGTTACGCCCTAATTCCAGCTCTATCAAGAATTAATCGATGGTCAAGTTTTGAACCCACCACAGCATGCTTTTGGCGCTACTGTATATGGACGATCAAATGTAAAATATTGTGGTAGCCACAGCATAGTTCCAACAGAGTTACCTCTATGATAGTTCTGTCAAAACCTCAGCATTTCCATTGATCCATTCAATGCGATGTTGCCATCTCCGACCACTGTGAGATAGTGTTTCTTTGTATTTATGGCATGAATCTTATCGTATGCGCATGCTCATGCATAAAAAAGTAACCTTGGCAACCGAACAAAACGTTTCTACGCAGAGGATCGTCAAACTTGTTTGATCAAAACCACCAAAACATACGTGAAGTTTTGTGAAAATGTCCAACAAACCAAAGACATTATTGGAACAGTATGATGTTCTTCTTGAACATCTCGACTATGGCTACATTGGAAAATGCGCGGACGGTCGGATGTTGGAAAAGATCGTGAAAATTCTTCGTTCTGGCCAGGAAGGCCACTATCCAGATCTGACGTCATTCGCTGAACATCGTTTACGTTCCATAAAGCCGAACTCGAAACTATTTCGCGAAGAGACGCCCCTGATCACAAAAGAGAGCATAACACGTGAGCGCTGGCAAAAAATAAATCAGGACCTGGAAGAGTGGGAAAGTAATATGCAAAAGGTGCACAAGGATATTCTTGATCAGAAGGGAATTCCGATAGAAGATGTGCCACCGATTCGGTCCATGCATGCAGCAATAAATACATCTTATGCTAGTGAATCATCCGTGAGTCAACGGATTAAATCGTGGGATTACAATAACTGGGATCGTTACGATGCCGATGCTGAAATTTTAAAAATGGATTTAGACGAAGAAAGGCACAAGGAGTTTGTAATGAAACAAAATGAAAGCAATCCAAGTGGGAACATCATTCAAGAGGATCAGTCAAATGAAATCGATCGTCTAAGTGAAACCGAGAGAAAGGTGCTGGCAACAAAGTATAAGGAAAAGGGCAATGATTTTTTTCGCAGCAAAGAATACGAGCAAGCTCTCCAGGAATACAACCGTAGCATAACAATTTTCCCAACGGCAGCTTGTTTCAATAATCGCGCCATCACAAGTAGGTTAATTTTTCCAATCTATTCTGATATACTATATATTTTTAATGTGCGTTTTCAGACATAAAGCTTACGCGTTATAATAAGGCTATTTCCGATTGCGAAGCATGCTTAAAGAGTGAGCCGAAGAATTTAAAAGCGTTATGCCGGAAAGCTGAAGCGCTCAAGCTTGATAATAAATGTCGTGAGGTTTGATCTTATTTTCCTCTGAGCATATAGCTTTTTCTATCAATTGCCAATTTTTAGGCATACCAGGCATTATCGCAAGTTTTACTGGTGGATCGTAACAACAAGTTGGCTCTGGAAGCAGTAGATGATCTACGGCGTCAGCATCCGGATCTACCTCCACCTAATGCCTTTCAAGTTAAGATTGAAGATGTTGGGAACGAAGACGTGGCCGTCGATGATGACTACGCTACTCTCATTAAACCTAAAAGGATCGTTAAAGACAAGCTTCCCGATGCTATGAAAAGTCTTAGAACTGAAACGGCTAAAATGATGCAAAAATCCGTTTCCACCAAAATACAAAACGATAAAATTGAAATAATTCCGCGTCCCGGAAAAAAGGTATTTATCGAAGAAATTAAGTAGAGCATTAACTTTAGTCTTTGCAATAGATATATTATACAGTAAAAAATAACGTTTATCAGATATTATATGATGCAGTAAAAAAAATCGATCTAATGCCGCTCTAGATCTTACAGTGTTGTCGGAATGGCGTTCTACCACAAAGCTTTACGAATTACATACTTACATGCATTTTATTCTTCGTGTGGTAAATTACGATTATAAATCAGACCAACTTCACCATCTCCGCCACGGCGTCCCAAAGTAGCCAGCACGTAAATGATGCAAATAAACCCAATACAACCACCCAGCACAAGGAACCAGGTTCGTTTCCATGGTGGTTTCGATGAGGGCGCGTAAAGCCTTCTAGACCAGCGGGAGAATATCTCCTGTGGTGTTCTTCTTTTGTATTTGTTATCATCCCGATCCGATGCCCCAATAGGGGATTCTCTAGCCAACAGTGGTCGCCGACTACTTGCTGCAATTGTAATGGTTTTACAAAAATTTATGCACTACGTACATGAAGACAATAATTTACCATGAAAATCTAATGCCGGCGATGTATTATTAACGTAAGATTCCATGTTAACAATCGAGTGGGGACTTTCGGGTCGTTCGTTCGCTCTCGTTTGGGTCATACTAGATGCAAAAGTGTTTCCATTGTGAACGGAGGCAGAACTGGTTGCCACGGTGTAGTTAGAATAATCAGGTTTATCTTCCGAAAGCTGAAATGGACGATTTTTAACTAGATGTCAGATATATTCTTTAATCAACTTTACCAATGGGAGCTCGAGTACGCTTCTTGCCCAATTAACCTGCCCCAACCTAGTTCGGAGAACATCAGCCACCGGCGAGACTAGATTAGCAGGAGGTAATATTGGATCACTACACGTAGGACAAGTGTGACCCCCTGGTGCCGTGTTAGCTGGTAATGACTGTTGTCTTGCATTCAAGCATTTCCAATGGAATACGTCTAGAAGTATTGAAAAATTATTGGTCAAATAAGCCATGTTTCCAAGAATGTATCCTTACGGTAGCAAATAAGCCGCACGCAATCTTCATTGTCAAGTGGATTCCCGCATAAAGTACAAGACGAATCGAAGTCACTGTCCTTTAACCACTGGATATAGGATTGAACTGTACACTGGAAATCGTTGAATTAAAAGAAAACAATAATTATTATTGGAATTTATGTTAGTTGATAATGTTCCTGCATATGTAATTGGAATAACTACCTTCGTGTGATTTACAACCATGCAATTTTCACACACGTTCACTCGATGTTCGAAGCAGAATTGAGTTGTAACTTGCCGTTTAGGACATTTGCACAGACCCATTTTTATATTGCTACTACCGTTAAAACACTTTTTATCAACAATATATGGGTAAAATCGAAAAATACAACTTATTTCTCTAATTTTTACTCCAAAAACATTAGCCACGTCCGATTGAAAATAATTAATTTGACAGTCGCATGACAAAGCTATCACTTCTGTCATGATAGTGCCCCTAAGGCTGAACATGCTGCTACGTACAGTTGTAGTATCCCCACCCCCGCTAATTCGGTTCTTTAATTTTGAAAAATTTATTGGTTATACATCACAGAAAAAAAAGTTGTTCTTTAAGGGTATTGAAGTAAATGCATATTCGTAATCTGCGTTAAAAATGGAACGCAAACCCCAAATTTCATCAATTTTGGTACGTTGGAACTATTTTAAATAAGTACGATTACATTTGCAAAAATCACCTCTTTAGCGCCCCTCGGAGTCACTTTGTATGGGAGCGAGCTGTCAGTTTTTTAGTTTAGTGTCAAACAGTGAAGTTATTATTTTGCTTTAAATCTTGATTTAAAAATCGAGATGAAAGTGTGTGGATTCGAAAAAAATATTGCTGTGCTCAGAAAACGAAGCTCTTTCAGATGATGTATAAAAAACGATACATTTTTCAAAATTAAAGAACCCAATTGCAAAAATATATGTGCGGAATACATAGAATCAAACATTGACCTTTTCTTGGTGTAGTAGTTTTTCCAGAATCATACACTCATAAAATTTGACAAATTTTTAATGGTGAATTTTCATGTATAATTTAAGCACAGACAAACAGACATAACACTCGCATCTTGTACATCGAACACGCATTTAACGGTCAATTTAAATATGTGTTAGTTGATAGCACCTCCGCCGGTGGCGCCCATAGTTAATTTTTATGCGTTAGACGTTTACACAATACTTCCATCTGTTGAGCGTGCTACCCGTGACAGTGTTCTCAACAGATGGCGGTAGTGTTTTAGTGACGATGGTTTACAGTGGAAACTATTCTATGTGTTATGTCTGTTTGTCTGTGATTTAAGTACACAGCAAAAAAAAATGTAATATCGATCAACGTAATTCAAGCTGATGTATGAAATAATGATGTAATAGCAAAAAGCAGATGCAATATTACATCAATGGATGTAATTTTGTTCGCAAAATCGATGTACATCGTGCAATGTGATATTACACAACCGATGGATTGACCTGGTTGCAGCAGTTTCGATGTAATATTCAACAACTTTTTTTGCTGTGTATACTGTATACAAATGAAATTTATGAGTAAAATGAATAGTATGTGTGGTTACACATGGATTTTATGTGTACACATAAGAACTATGTTGTGGGGCTTTGGATTTCTTCCGGAAAGAATCACCCCTACAAACCGTGACACACACACGGTTTGTAGGGGTGATTCTTTCCGTGAAAAAAAAAGATAAACTGTACCAGTTTTCATATCTGCAATTAAGCAAAGACCTGGCAGGATCGCCAATATGGGGCTTTGGATTTCTTCCGGAAAGAATCACCCCTACATATGTGTCCGACACATATATATCATTTGTTTATCAAATTGCAAAAATTTATGTGTGTGACACATAAAAATTAGCATTGAATTTTCCTTAGGGTAGTAAATTTGTTAATATTCATAATCAACTATACTGAATTTATAGTAGATTTGACAGTTCTAAGCGTGGTTATATTGAAATTAAATGTTTTCTGTAGAATAGTATGGTTATTGTTTCAGTGTAAGAAACCCTAATAAAAATTGTATGGTTAATTTGCTTAATGACGTGTTCTGGGTATCATCCAAACCATTTATGGAATAGTTCAATGACTTGGGTTATCGTTCGTTTATGGTTATTTTTTATTAGGGAATATAACCAAAACAATTTTATTAAGGGCCACTAAACTCAAAATTGGGTTTAAAAAACCAAAATTTTGGGCTTTATTTTTCTGTGTATATGCGTGTATCTTTTTACCTTCAGCATCAGGGTGCTTGCTAGCTGTCATTGTCAAACAAACCAATCGAAGAGAAAAGTGTAAACTCACGGATGCTATCTAAAGTCGTTCTCGGATTTGCTTGAATTTTATTCAACTTTCGTAGCGAATCATGGTAAGTTAGTTAATTTTTACATTTAAAACATATTTCTTTGGTTCGAAGTAGTTTATCATTGTTTTACGCGCCTCTTAACTGCGTGATGAGCATCTACATTTTTCAAGTTTGCATAGAGGTTATGTTGTTGAAATAATGATAGTCATTGTACGGATCTACATAAAAATGTTAAATACGGGGTTTCTTTGTATTTTAGGGTCAAAACCAATCAGCTGGAGGCAGCGGTGATAAAAAGGATGATAAGGATAAAAAGAAGAAATATGAGCCACCAATCCCAACGCGCGTCGGGAAGAAGAAACGTAAGTCCAAGGGCCCAGATGCTGCAATGAAATTGCCGCAAGTCACTCCGCACACCCGATGCCGCCTAAAGCTACTCAAACTGGAACGTATCAAGGACTATCTTCTGATGGAGGAAGAATTCATTCGCAATCAGGAACGCCTGAAGCCTCAGGATGAGAAGAACGAAGAGGAACGTTCCAAGGTTGACGATCTGCGAGGAACGCCTATGTCTGTTGGAAATTTAGAGGAGATAATCGATGATAATCATGCGATTGTTTCCACCTCGGTCGGAAGCGAGCACTACGTAAGCATACTGTCTTTTGTTGACAAAGATCAACTGGAACCAGGATGTTCGGTTTTGTTGAACCATAAGGTGCACGCCGTTGTGGGAGTACTGGGGGATGACACCGATCCGATGGTTACCGTAATGAAGCTTGAGAAAGCTCCTCAAGAAACTTATGCTGATATCGGAGGATTGGACACCCAGATTCAAGAAATTAAAGAATCTGTTGAGTTGCCTCTTACTCATCCGGAATATTACGAAGAGATGGGTATCAAACCTCCAAAAGGTGTTATCCTGTATGGTCCTCCAGGAACTGGGAAAACTTTGCTCGCCAAGGCAGTGGCTAATCAAACATCAGCCACATTTTTGCGTGTAGTGGGTTCTGAACTGATCCAGAAGTATTTGGGTGATGGTCCCAAGTTGGTTCGCGAACTGTTCCGTGTTGCTGAAGAACATGCTCCCTCGATTGTCTTTATTGACGAAATCGATGCCGTTGGTACAAAACGTTATGATTCCAACTCTGGTGGAGAACGAGAAATTCAAAGAACAATGTTGGAGCTGTTGAATCAACTTGATGGATTCGACTCGCGTGGGGATGTGAAGGTCATTATGGCAACTAATCGTATTGAAACGCTCGATCCAGCATTGATTCGTCCTGGTCGTATTGACCGTAAGATCGAGTTCCCTCTGCCAGATGAGAAAACCAAGCGTCGAATTTTCAACATTCACACTGCTCGGATGACATTGGCCGGGGACGTGAATCTTTCGGAGTTGATCATGGCCAAGGATGACCTTTCAGGAGCCGATATAAAGGCGATTTGTACCGAGGCAGGTTTAATGGCCCTTCGCGAACGCCGTATGAAGGTTACAAATGAAGACTTCAAGAAATCCAAGGAAAGTGTACTTTATCGCAAGAAAGAAGGCACTCCGGAAGGATTGTATCTCTAGGTTCCACAATATTTTCTATGCATTAGCCGTATTATATTCAGATTTGCGTTTGTGTAATCGGAAGGACTTAATAAAACTAAATAAAATCAATGTTCGTTGCTTTTTTTATTTCTGTATTGCACATGACATGACATTCGACAACTGTAATGATTCCTTAAAATAAAAATTTACGAAATTTTGAACACGAACTTTATATCCCTAATTCAGAACGCAGATTCAACTGCACATAGCACATAATTTTTCGACACGTTTCCAAACGCAATTTCCATTTAGGTTTTTTTTTAACATAAAAAACTCGAATAACCCCTTCATCTCACATTGTTCGAAACGGTTAAAATTCATAAAAAATAATCAAAAATCAGTCAACATTTGATTCTGAAATTTTCAGAAACACGTAATGTAATTAGAACCGTAATGATCTTTTGCCATGGTTGTTCCGATTCCGGCGGGAAACATTTTGACAAACGAATGGTGAAGCCATGGTTTGAAGATCATCTGGCGTAATGATCGGTTTCTTGGGGCAGTACTTCTTGGTATGAGCCATGTCTCCTGTTGCCTGGCAATATGGGCATACATACTTTCTCAGTTTTGGGCACACGACGAAGCCTTCCTCGTCGCGGCAAGAGTGATCCAAATACGTTTCCTGTTTCTCGCGGTTGTTGTAACAAAAGACGCAATACTGTATAAAGATAATACGATTACATTATGAACCTTGTTTGGCAATAATTTGAGATTAAACTTACGTCTTCATTCTCTTTGGGTGATCTCTTACGCCTGGTCGATTTGATTTCGTTTTTTTCTGATGTGCCCGCTTGTACGTCCATTTTCTCATGCAATGAGGAATACTTAGCGATAGGAGATTGGTTCTCCAAATTAGCCAATGGCCATTTTGATATCCCGAAGCCTGGTGGTGGTTGTCGGCTGGTATTGTGAATTTGTGTCACTATAGCAGAATCTATGCCATTGCGAATGAAATCTTGGCGAATTGAGTTTACGTCACGTTTGCTGCTTTTATTCAGCTCTTTCACCATGCCTTTGACGTCGATTGTCAACTCCTCGAAAGTAGATGTGAGTTCATTCAACTCACAATCCAAAGAATAGTAACCTTGAAACAAAGGTTCTGATTTGGATGAATAATTATCGCTGAGATCAACATTAAAGCATTTTAGGTTCTCCATCTTGTCAAGTAGTTTCCGTCGATAGAGCAGCAGTTGGGATCATGTTTTACAAATGCTTTGTAAATCCTGAAAAGTGTGTATTATGTGGTGTACGATGATATTGAGAAAAAAATCCTTACCTATAGCTTTATTGCCACTAAAACTACTAGCATAGCATAAACGAGAACATGAGCAAATCTTTAAAAATCACTTTACAATATACAAAAACACTAGAAAACAAAAAGAACGACTTTCACTTTTTCTACCTTGCTGCTAATAAAGCTAACTCCGCAGGATCGCAGGATCGTTTCTGAACATGGCCGACGAGTGACATTTTCATCCTTATACTACGTAACGAAATAGGTTTGGAAAGAACAGTACGACCTCTGGTTGTTAATCGAATGTTTTCTCGATTCATTTTTGAATAGGTCCTATGTCCAATGTTTGTCGATCAAACAATCACTGAAACAAGAACCATAGTTAGGAATACTATTTTGCAGAAAACACTTATTATACTGATTAACCACGCTTATTACTGTTAAATTTATTATGAATTCAGTTTAGTTTACCATGAATGTTGACAAATTTAAATTATTATAGTAAAATTATAGAAATTATAGAAATTATAGTAAAATAAAATAAAATTGTTTTCTGCAAAAATCTATTGGTGAGCGTATTTAATTTAAACCAGCAATATAGTATTTTTGCCAATGGATTTTGTTTCAGAGATCGATTCACTTGATTCGCTTTCTACCGCGTCCAGTGTGGTATTTTCGAAAAAAGATCACAATTTTTTACAGAAAATCTAAAATTAACCTTATAAGTCTGGCTTTAATCATATTCTGGCGGCCCGCCTAAACGAGAACCATAACTTGACCTGACCGAAAATGGTTAAAAATTGTTTGTAATCCCTGCTAAACTTTAACTGAAATGGTTATGGAACTTTACATGAACGTTTGTGTGATAAAGTTTTAACCTTATGTATTATGGTTCTTTGGAAGTGAACCAAAAAACCAACATAAGGTTAAAACTTTTTCGCTCAAACGTTCATGTAAAGTTCCATAACCATTTCAGTTAGAGTTTAGCAGGGATTATAAACAATTTTCAACAATTCAGTGTCAACACGTAGATGATTATGTTTACCCCCCCTCGATCGTCGATCCTGGTATATAGACAGTAATCATGCCGGGAACGGATAAAGCCGAAATCCAGTAGAAGGTCGTTTAGCTTGTTGTTCCAACAGCGGGGGCTTTGCTTGAGTCCGTACAGCGATCGATCCAGCTTGCAAACGAAGTTCGGCGGTGCTGCAACTCCTTCGGGTATGGCCATGTAGACGTCTTCTTCAAGCTCACCGTAGAGGAATGCGGTCTTCACATCGAGTTGGTGAACGTGCATCCTTCGGTGGGTTGCTACAGCAAGAATGGTTCGTATCGTGGCTAACTTTGCTACGGGGGAATATGTTTCGTTGTAGTCGACTCCGGGCTTCTGTTGGAATCCCTTCGCCACCAAGCGCGCCTTGTAACGGATCGGTTCGCCATGCTCGTCCGGCTTGATTCGGAAGACCCATTTCGATTTGAGCGGAACCACACCAGCAGGGCATCTCACCAATCGCCAAGCATGGTTGTCCGCTAGCGACTGCAGTTCCTCACGGACCGCTTGCTGCCAAAGAGCTTCGTCGGCTCGTCCAGCGATCTCCTTGTACGCCTCCGGGATATCGAAGATCGAACGCTCGGCCTCATCTCGTCCAACGGAACCGTCAAATAGTACATCGGAAACGTTATGGGGAACATCTGCAGAATGGGATTGCGCGGCAGTGAAAATTTTTCCAACCAGAAATTCTTTCAACTTACCGGGGAGTCTGCGCTCCCGTTCGCTGCGCCTCGGGGTTTCCATTTCGAGGTTTGAACCACGGTCTAGTTGCGAAGGGAGCGCTCCGGTTTCTTCAACACCGTCGTCTTCAACCTCGCCTTCTTCATCATCAGTCAGGATGTCGTCATGTTGAGCCACCAGCGGCTCATCGGGTTGAACGGACTGTTCAGGGGTTTGCACGTCTTCCTCATCTTGATCCTCGAACTCGTACGGAGCAACAACCAAAGGAGTTTCGTCACGGATCTGGGTGGCAAACGGAAAACTGTTTTCATCGAACTTGACATCTCTGGCTAGGAATAACTGCTTCTTCTCTTTGTTCCACAGGCGGTAGGCGTTCGGCGCATAGCCGATCATCACAGCAGGCTTGCTTTTCGGATCCAGTTTCTTCCTCTGTGCCGTGGACACCCAAGCAAATGCTTTACAGCCGAACACACGTAGTTTACTAACGTCCGGCTTGTGACCAGTCCACATTTCCGCAGGAGTCTTCCAATCAGATACCGCGGTGGTTGGACTTCTGTTCGTCAGGTATACCGCCGCTAGAACCGCTTCATTCCACAGATTCTTCGGAGTTTGGGCTTCAATCAGCATCGCAGTTGGCTCGACTTGGATCCCCTTGGAAACGTACCAATCACGCTGGTCATTGGAGCAATACTCGCGCCCTTGGTCGACAGTCAGCTTCGAAATCGAATGTCCCAGAGCGGCACTCGCCATGGCCTCGTACTCTCGAAACTTCTGGAACACCTCGGACTTCTTCTTGATGGGATATACTACTGCAAAGTGCGTGTAATCATCAATAAAGGTGACGAAGTACCGAGAATCATCCCAAGCCGCTGGTGTAATTGGACCGCACACATCGGAGTGCACTCGTTCTAGAGGTCTTGTAGCACGGACTCTAGTACCCGTGAATGGTTCTCGGCACTGCTTTCCGAGAACACAAACATCACAAAAATCCAATTTATCTGGTTTCTCGGGAATACCTGTTACCATGCCATGCTTCGCGAGTGTCTGCAAACTCTTGCTCCCCAAATGAGCCAGTCGACGATGCCACAGGTTACCAGTCACAGCTCCACACATGTTGGCCGCCACCGTATCGACACGGAGATCGAGCTCGTAAAAATCGCCCCGCATGGGACATCTCGCAATCAGGTCACGACCTTGCTTCATGATCGCTTCCTTTTTCGTGAATGTGACATCAAGATCCGCTTTTGCCATCTTCTTCACAGATAGCAAGTTCGCTCGAAGATCTGGTACGAAGAGGACGTTCTTCAAGCTGATATAGTTACCTTCCTTGTTGACGCCGTTGATGGTGCCACTGTGCCGGGAAATCAGGGATTGATCATCCTTCGCCACGTTTATGACGACAGGGTGCTTCAGCTTCGTGAGGTCGGCGAAACAGTGCTTCACATTCACAAGGTGGTCCGAGGCTCCGGAATCCAGCTTAAAGGAAACTGCTCCCTCGTCCTTTGTTTGGGAGCATATCCCGGTCATAAAAGCCACCGCCTTACCTCCAGCAGCAGCGTTAGCTTCAGCGCGCCCATCTGTCTTCAACTTCACACGACAGTCCTTGGCCTTGTGCCCCTTCTTCTGGCAACGGTTACACTTTCCGGTGAACTTACCAGGCTTCTGCTTCGATCCTTGGAATGCTGCAGGTTTCTCTTGGCAGGAATCCAGTTTTAGGTTTTCCTCACCTAGATTTTCCAGTGCCGTAACCAACGGATCGAACGACTCGGGAAGGGTAGCAAACAGCTGGGACACAATATCGTTCTCTTCAAGCTTCGCTCCGGCCAGCTTCAGTTGTCGGATCAGCTCTTCGAAGGTTTTCAGGTGATCTTTCACAGACGAACCTTCCATCATTCGTAGCTTCGCAAGTTGCTTCCTGACGAATGTCTGCGACGAGACGGACTTCTTGGCGTAGGCGGATTCAAGGCTCATCCACATCTCCTTGGACGTCTCCTTGTCCCGCACCAAATGCAGCAAATCGTCATGAACAAATGACGTCAGCAGGAACGCTGCCTTACCGTCATCTTCCTGGAACTTCGTGAGCTCGGCCGCTTCCATCGGAGGATCCTTCTTGATGATATCCAACAGCTTCACGGACTTCAGATACTTCTCCACTCGAAATTGCCAATTGTCGAAACCGGTGCCCGAGAACTGCGGGATCCCGTGGACCAAATCCTTGCGTGAGTCGCCCATAACCTCTTGATTGTTAGAAAGAACCGGAACAGCAAAGTTTAAAAGTAGAATGGATTTTATTTAACGACTAGCTTGAGTGGAGTCTTGAACAGGAATGAAAAGTTTTTCACCGTTGTTTATTTAAGAAAACTTAGGTTGCTAGGGGTGACGTTCGGTCTCCAAGGAGGTGATCAGCACACTGCGTTACCGATTTACTCCAACACTTGTCAATTTTGTTTTTTGAGTGTCACAATCAGCGATTTTATGATTCGTGAGCGTTCACTCAGAGTGAGCGCTCACGAGTCGTTAAATCGTATATTGTGCCGCTCTGAAAGCAATATTGATAAGTTGTTTGTGTCAAACACATAATTTACGACCGCTTCTTGTAACTTACAAGTACTGATTATCATTGTATCACAGACAAACAGACGTAACACTTCATTGTGTAGCTTCGTTCACGCATTTAACGGTTGATTTGAATATTATTAGTTTCGCGAACTACTCGCCACAGCGCTGGCATCGGATCACTTTGACGTTTCTATACATTCTATAGAACTTTTATGCAATATTGTTTAAGAGTTAGCGAGCAATCTTTTTTTCCTCGAGAAGCCAAAGAGATGTCGTTACTGAGGTCCTATGTTTTGAGATACTATGTTTTCAAGAGAAACTTTTTCAAAGTGTTACGTCTGTTTGTCTGTGATTGTATCATCTAATTATTTCATAATTCTGTTATGAGTTTTATAGCAAGTGAGTGGAAGCAACCCTGCTCTTAAGGAAAGCTTTCCCCAAGGCTTTCCCTATTTCATGATGAAATCAAGCATTCGGTTGGAAATTTCTTAAGAAATGGACTATCTTAGCACAGACAAACAGACGTAACTCTTTGAAAAACTTGTTCTTGAAAACATAGTATCTCAAAACATATAACCTCAGTAACGACATCTATCTGGCTTCTCGCGGAAAACAAGCTTGCTCGCTAACTCGTAAACAATATTGCATAAAATTTCTATAGAATATATAGAAACGTCAAAGTGATCCAATGCCAGCGCTGCGGCGAGTAGTTCGCGGATCTGATAATATTCAAATCAACCGTTAAATGCATGAACGAAGATACACAATGAAGAGTTACGTCTGTTTGTCTGTGATCTTAGTTTTGTTTATAAAATATGAATCCCCTTTTATTTCTTGGTCTTCAATATCTTGAATTGGTTCCCTTCTCGGTTCCCTTCTCGGTTCCCTTCTCGGTTCCCTTCTCGGTTCCCTTCTCGGTTCCCTTCTC